TCATTGTCATTACCTGGCTGTGGTTCAAAGTCCTTCAGGTTCACTTCGTACTCATCTTCAGTGATATACTGATGCCGTCCCATCATCACAATGGCAAACTTAAACTGGAAAATAAATAAATAAAATAAAATAAGGAAATCAAATTTTAATGTACAGACAATAAGTTACACTGTAAATAGATATTGTATTACAATGTACCTTCTCAAATTCTTTCTCCTGGATGTCTAGCATGGTCTGGATCCTCCTCATCACCTCTCGGAAGGGTTCTCCCTGAAAAGCAACGTTTTTATTTCATTTTTTTTTAAAGGACCAAACTTTGGGAAAAGTAGGATATAAACACATTTTTGTCCGTTAATTGTGATGAAAAGTATGCACTGGTTAATGTGATCCTCCTCCTGTGTGTGCTGCCATGTGTGCTCAAGAGTCTGTGTCTCCTTCCTCTTGGCTGTACATCACGTCTCCTTCCCCGTGTGTGTGTGAAAGGACAGTTGCCGTTTAGATTTTGACTCATGTTTTGTTTTCATGCTGAAGCATTGTTCTCATTAAACGGGTCGTTCTGAGTCAGTGAAAGCAACACTGTGGCTAGACCTGCCATTTAAGGGCAGAGCTCCACTGTGAATGATCCCGTCACATTAGGATTGACAGGATGAGCAGCTCCTGCCCTTGTTGAGGAAAAAATGAAGATAGGCCTAGATTTTGAATAAACTACAGTTTATTTTAACACCCTATATGTAGGTTTAATAAAAACCTCCAAAATTAATCAATGTTTTATTTTACTCAATCATAGGCCTATGTCAAGCTACATGTTTTTGAGATGTTTTTGTACCATTTATAAAGTCTTTATGAAAGTAAAACTATAAAGTGGTTTAAAAAAGGACCCGAGGTAGACAAAGCAGCCCTCAGGTAGAGCTAATTGACACAATAAATAGAAATAAATAAACCTGCAAAACACGTGGGTTATTATAAAGTGTGTTAACACCTCATTCAACGTTTCAAGAATCCAGTGTGTCAAAACAGACAACATGATGCATTATAATTCTTATTGTGATATATATACACATTTTATTTTAAATAAAAGTATTCCCACTTGAATTTAATTTATTTAAAAGCAAGGGGAAATTGAATATTTTGTAAACAAACCTGTCGGATCTTTAGCAAGAAGGGGATCCCAAAGGTGCCAAAGACTTCTTTGTGGAAGTGAGCAACAGGAATGAGCATTTCAGTGTCCTTGTCCAAGTCCACCTGATCCAAGGGAATTTCCTATAGGAGACAAGAACACAAAAATGTACGTAATAACGTTGATTTCATGTGGGACATTGCAAAAACAAACATCTGCAAGGACAGAGTTGCCATCTGGCTAATGTTCATATTTATGCTGCCCCCCTGTGGCTAAATCACCACATTTGCTCAGTGCAAAATGTGAGTCTGCAGCAGAAAGGGACAAAGCTGGACAAACACTATTCTTAGCCATCCAGAGCCATCCATGACATCTGTAAGCTGTGGTTAGGCTGGCCACTTGTACATGTCTGACCATTTACACTGGATCAAGTAAAAGCAGAATGAGAAAATCTGTTTTTGACGATGCTCTAATGAAGGCCACTTCTTCATTAGTTTTACTCTGTCCATCCCACACGTCATGAACAAGTTCTTGTATCATCCTCTTTATTTGGGTAAACCTTTTATATTTGTTACACATGTTGCACCAAAGTTTTATTGGTTTGAAAAGATATCAACTGAGTTGTCTGAGCAATGTTGGGCCTTAGTAGATGGATGGGAACACCAGGTGCCACAGTGGGACAGCAGGGATTCTAGTGTAAACTTACTGTGCCCTTAGGTAACACACATTGACTTGTAAATGTGGTGTGTGGTTGGCAATGGGCAGAGGGGCCTATAGAAGCAAAGCAGTCTGTGGTGTCATCTACCAAACCCGGACAGCTGTGGCTACAATAGCAGCTTACCACCTCTGAGTGTGGACAGAATGAATAATGCAGGTAAAGCTCTTCTCTTGAAAAGTGCTTTGGATTTTTCCAACACATTATTATTTTCAATATAAACTCTTATTAATCAATACAAATGATTCCGAAAACACAACTAAAATGCTAAGCTTGAAAAGACGAGATTGTAAGTGTATGTGCAACTAAAATGACATCCATCACATTTATCCTGTGTTATGCATTTCAGTTTCAATCCCCGGGACTGACCTCTATTCTGAAGGTGCGACTAGCAGCCGGAGATAAACATTCTAGAAGCTCATCCTCCTGGTGAACTCCTATGATTTTATAGCTTACTATCTCGAGCAGCCTGCAAAACAGACAAGGACAAAGACCATTTAGCTTTTAACTATACACAATTCACAAGTAGAGTGGTGTCACATAAATGGAATGATGGACTATACACTATTTGACGTCAAATTCTCAGCAACAATCATAAATAACTCCCAAATGTTACACACCTGAGCTTTTCAGAGCCCTTTTCTGAGAGCTCCACAGCTTTTTTACATTCTTCCAAAAGGTCCCGCACACAGCCATGTTTGTCAGGGTAGAGAGTGATTTCCTGCTCAAACACAAATAAGATGGTTAAGTATCAGTGTGAATTCTCCCCGGCTTTTCATAGCAAGGCATAGAACAATACCTCTTCTCTGAACTGACTGTTGAGCCATATACATTTAAAACTCCTCCTGTTCTCAAAGTCTGTAATCTTCATCTTCAACTGTAAAAACAAAAGTTAACATAAGCACCAGAGTGTGTTTTATACTTGTATTTCAGGAATGAAGCATGATTCTTTCACACCTGCTGGTAGTAGAGTTTCTTGGGCTGCCGGGGTTTGAAGAATTGCAGCAGATCCCGTAACGTTCCCTCATAGTTGTGTCTGAGAGGGTTCCCTGGCCCGTCCCTGTACCTAGCCACCACACCACCAGGCAGGGGGGAGGAGGACCAAAGGGGAAAGGATGGATGACAAAATGTGAGAGGAAAAAAAATGAGAGGGTGAAGCCAGCGGAGAAAAAGGAAGAGAGCGGGAAGGGGAGGAGCCACAGGAAGACAAAAGATACAGGTGGGGGGGACAGGTTACGTAACATTTCTACTCGAATTGTCCAAAAACACACAATACTTATATCGAAACTATTGTTTAAAAGAATTCAAAGTTCAATTGCAAGTGCTGGGGAACATGTTTAAGAGCAGATGAGACAAGCGTCCTACCCCTGTGACTTGAAGAACTGCAGCAGCATGGGATCTGTATTCAACCTCTGGGCTACGGTCTTTGCAACCTAAAATCACACAACAGCATCAAAATCACTTTCTTTGTCAGGCATGACGTTAAGATTTAAATAATATACATAAACTACAAGCAACAAAATCACATTTAAATTAACAAAAAGTTGTATGGCTGGTGGTTCATAAAAGATGCAAGTTTATCCCATACCTAAAAAATGTTTTTTTATGGCATAATCCTAGAATTTAAACAACCAATACATGGGGCTCATTGGTTACGGAAAGGTATTAGGAGGATTGGTGACTTATTTGATTGGGCCGGGTAGATAGAGACATGCACATACAATAAAAGTTAAGTCTGAGTGCTGGGTCTGAAAACAAAAATTGTAAAAAAGAAAAAAAAAAAAAATTTGCATCACAGTTCTTTGGAGCTCCCCATTTTTGTATTTCAGTATTTTAGCTATTTTGATAGCACCACAATTATGTGTGCCGCTATTAAAATATTTTTTTAATATTGAGAGCTCCAAAGGTGCAAACTGTTTTGCTTTTTTTCCCCCCCTGGAGGACATGTCCTATAATGCCGTCAAAGAAAAATACGATTCAGAAGGAAGTCTTGGTCACTTTTGGAAGTATCCTCAGATGAGACTGATAAAAAGGAAAAATTAAAGCTGTCACACGAGTGGAACCATTCTCAATAAAAAGAATATTAGCAGAAATTATCTATGTATCTGACAATTTTTGACACATGCTCCGTTGAACTTTCTGAAATGGATAAATCTGTTGGGCTTCATGCAGAGCTGGTTACCATGTAACCCACCCAAGATATGTAGTTTGTGTTTGCTGGAGGAAAAGGGCCATTTGAGTTTTAGAGGGTTTAGAGCTAGACTGGTGACATGCGCCCCGCTCATTAAGACACCTACATTTAAAATGTGGAAGGTGATGAAGAGGATGACTAAGAATTTGATGTGTGAGAGGATACTGAAGAGGGTATAAACAGTGGGAGGGAAGCACCTTGTATATAAATATGTACAAATGTTGAATTTTGGCATTTTGTTTGTTTCTCTCATCTTTTATATTCTGTTTTATATGTAATGATAAATATTTTAAACTATTGAATCTAAAAAAATATTAGGTATTAAAGTATTCTTTGTACCTGAAAGTAGTTCATGCGGTTGGAAAGTGTGACCACAAAGCCAGGGTCATTGTGAATGGTCTTGTCACAGAAAATGACATCCACTCGGTGATACAGATCTCGAAAATAGTCCTTTGCAGTCGGCAGCTCACTGCTGTCATTCTCTGGGTCGTCCCTGTGTGGGCAGGAGTGCAAACACAGTTACAACAACAAGGACAAGACCGTATGAAGAACAGAGTCTGCAGGAGGCCTACTTCTGGAAGACAATGATGTCCCCATCCATGAGCTCGTCCAGGGCTTTGTCTAGAGAGACATCATAGTCCTGGATTCGCTCTGTTAGATTGGGCTTTACTTCCTGAAAACAAAGATTGAAATGCGTCAGCAAACAATGTGTTCACACAGAAGTGTGAAAGGAATGAGACAAAATACAAGATGAAATATCACTGTATCAGTGAGTATGTGATGCAAGAACAACTCACCTCATAGAGGATAAGACTAGTTTCCTGCTGAAAGCCTGCCCTTTCACACATGACCGGCAGCAGGTCTCCTACACAGGAGACAATGTGATACAATAAAAATGGTTCTCTCTTAGATCATCTATTATGCATTGTGAGAATAACTTACTTATTTTACAGGATATAGGTGTGTAGATATGTCCACAATAACTTAAGCTTCTGGTTTTGGGGTCATACATCTTCAAGAATAACATGACGTCATCTGGGGGGGAAAGAAGTCACTAATGAGTGCAATGTACAAGTTTATAAGACATTTTTATCTGGTTAATAAGAACATAAATGTTCCACCCTGTGAAACCCTTAATGCAGCATTTGGAGTGCTTCTCATTGCTCAACAGTATCTGAGTCAGTGTAATACTTACGGTCTTTATCAAACTTGGGTAATGTAGCCCCACTGGCGGCCAACTCCGGGTCCACTGTCTCCAGGAATATTGTCCAGGGATTCTCATTATCACTCAAGTCAATCATCTATAGACAGGAATAAATGTTTTTAGTTTTACATCAAGTATGTTTGAAAAGTGAACATTCGTCAGTCACTTACAGACTTGTTGCAGTCTGCCTCATAGTCAAGCATGGCAGGCCGCTTGGTCCCGTTGCTCCGAGCCTGCATTGGCCAAAGCCTCATCTGGTCTTGTGGAAAACCCTGTAATGCATTAATTGATCAACTTTTTTATTCAACGAGCTAATGACACATACTTCTGAACTAAAGAAATCAACTATAGAAATAGCACGTGTATGCACATAATTACACAGGGCAGGCAAACAGGAAAGTCCTCTCTAACATGGACACCAATTGTTTAAGTGCATTGACTCACTACTTTCTACCTTTAGCACATTATATCAAAAAGAAGCTGTTGACCTACTATATGAGATCAAGTAACACTTACCATGGTCTGGGACAAGTTTTGGACAAACTCTTGTAGAGTTGAGCTCTTGAGGACTTTGAAGACTGTGTACTTGACCTTCTCCTCGTCATACATGTCATTGCCCTGGTGGCCGCAGAACTGGTCTTCTGTCACCATCTTGAAAGTATAATGATTTTTTTTTTAAATTATAAAATCATATGTTTATGTATACCAACATGGACAGTGGTAGTTTTATCATCTGATGGTTTTTCCAGTGTCAAAACCGCACATGTGGCCATACCTGGACCTGCATATACAGGTGGGCCTCCTGACGCTCTTTCCTCTTTTGAGCCTCCACTCTCTTCTCCTCCTGAAGACGCTCTACCAACTGCTGAGGGATGTCCACATCAGTCATGGGCTGTAGAACCTCACCTGATACAGAAATGAATGAGAATTACACAACTGAACCTGAAGAACACCAGATGGAGGAGAGAGTGAAGGTCACTTACTGAGCTTGGACTCTCTGATGTAAACCAACATGTATGCATTGGTGCAATGACGCACTGAAAGGTCATCGTCATGACCACCATAGTTGTGTTCTATGGCTTCCTCCTTTGTGCACCGCGAAACCACATCGTCATCAAACTTGCACCACTGCAAAAACACAACATTGATTTAAAACAAAAAAGGCAGACTAACAAGCTTTAGAATATTGCAAATGTATTTTGATCATAAGCCTTACATTCATTTATAGAGCATGCATTGATATTAGACAATGTGAAAAAAATTCTTAGACTAACATAATTAAAAGGTGAAGTGCAATTGAAAACAATTCCAACATGAATCCCAACCAGTGTTTGTGAAAAATGTAGAATAAAAGTTGTTCTCACTATTGGTTCATTGAGACTCACTTTGCCGTCTCCTTTTGGATTAAGATAGACGACGTAGTGACCTCCATGGTTGTCGCCACTGTGCACAAGCACGGCATGTAGGATGTAGTTGGCTGGGTCCTTGGAGTCAGGCTTTTGAAGAAACTCATCTAGAGGCAACTGATCTGGAAACTCAAACCTAAAAGAGAAAATAAAACAAATTACAAAACTGCATGAGGGAAAATTTTCATTCAGAACATTCTTTCGTACTACTTTCTAAAAAAACCCCATGGGAATTGTAGGTGGTCAGTTACCCCCTGGGCCAAAAGCCATCCTCTCAGATAATACAATATTTACCTGTCATTGATCTTGATGTTTTGGTCAGTTTGTGGGTCATACATGAACCTCATCAGCTGCAGATGAAGGATCGGGGGAAAGGTAAGAAACTTCACTCCCTTTTCGGCTTCCTGTGGAGTAAACAAGCATTTGGTTCTGACATTCCATTGATATTTACTGTTCTCTCATAGATCCTGCAAATTCAGAGAAACACCCTTTGCCCCCAACTTGACAAATTTACAATCTGCATAGACTATTATTATTTCCATATTTTGGATACAGTATGGAGCTATAAAAAACAACAAAGATTTAAGTGAGCCCTGACCTGAAGTCCATGTTCCCCAGCATCATATTTATTGTCACCATCCAACTGTTCAGTCGCAACATAGTCTTTGAAGGACTCAAAAACTATAAACAAAAGCCATGTTAGAAAATGAAACAGAGATGAAATCTTCATTTCTTAAGCCATAATGCAACTTACTGTTTTTCTTTCCTTTTATGCTAAGCTGAATGTCATAGTAGTCTTCTATTCTCTCTGATCGGTAGTCTACATGTTTACACTGGATGTATGACTAAAAGAAAGACACAATACATATTTAAACAAAAAGTAGCAAACCAGTTTACAAATATACCCCACTGCTAACCATTATTCATTTCAACAAATGGGTAACTACTGTACATACCACCATCTTCCCCCTGAAGAGCTTGGGGATGGTTCCCTCAACACAAGTGCCTTTCATTTTGTTCTCCACATTATCTAGGAGCTGCAAACATATGCATACAATACATAAATTATTAAGTAGACATTCACATAACCACAAGTTTAAGAGGCGTATATGAAACTCACCACTCTGCACAGCTCCTGTACATCATGTTGCATGAAGCTATCGAGAGTTTCCCAACTTCAAAAATGAAAAAAAAAACACAAGTTGTTAATTAAATTATTCATTTACAGGTTAATGATGGAAAATAGATACACATTTTATGTATGTATATAATGTTAACTACTGCTCAAAAGAATAAATATAACTAACACAATTCTACTAGAAGCTGAACGCTCAATAGAATAATGACGACAACTGTACATGTGTACATATAATAAAAAAGGTTTTTCCTGTTTACCCAAAGGACTTTGTGAGTTTCTTGGTGCCAACAGGTTTGTCGCTATGTTGCAACTCATAGAAAACCCTCTGTAAGGCCAGGGGCACACTCTTAGACGAGTCATCGCCCTCTGTGGGCATCATGTAGACCGCCTGAGAAGAGCAGTCAAGAAGGCAAACCAGTTTCCAAGACTTTCTGCAGTAACGTGAAGATATCAAATCATGTCAGAGGTAAACAGTAACTTACCCGTCTTAGCTGATTAGTGAAAAAGAGGGTCTGTAACAGGCTATTCATGTAGCATGTAGCTCCTTGGTTTTTGAGACCGACATAGCCTGTGTGTTTCTTTGAGTCCCAACTGATAACAGAGAGAATGTATATTCATACAACTTAGTACGTATCAACTAAGGCATAGTTAAGATTAAAAAATACATACGCGACTCCGTGAGGAGCATCAGCCTGAACATAGACTTCAAACGTGACTTTGTCATCTTCAATGAAGCCTCTTTCTGGGTCAGTCACATCCTAAAATGCAAGAAAGTGCTGCTTAGCTTTATAACAGACAGGCAGAAGACAATGGCAAGCTACAGTTAAACCAGTGGAGAAAAAAAATATATATTCCCATGAGTACTTACACTCCAGGACATGAAATTTGAAAAGCCCCAATCATTCTCTTTGTGGAAGAAGAGATGACTGATTCGACGACTAAATGACTTCTCATCATCTTTGTAGTGAACAATCTTCAGCATGGCCTGAGCATGACATGACCACGACCTGAACCAAGACAATAACAATGAATACTCATTTTGACTTACAGTAGTATAATCATTACTATTATCAAAGACTGACTTTTTAGCTCTTTAACTGAGTGTATTCAGTTAAAGACTGACAAAAGAGTAATGCAAGTTCTAAAATTCTGACATATTTAACAGGATGACAACTTAATTAAAACTTACGTAGAATCAGACTCTGCATTACATTGCAGAAAAAAGCCTACACTCTTTTGGTGTGGCCTGTCAGGATAGAAGCGTGGCATCACCATTATCTTCCATGGAAGGTTTCGGACAAAACAGGATGGGCTGAGTACCGACTCGCTAAGCCGGCTAAAACGTTCCACTACAAAGCGAAAGTTGCCTCAGAGCGCCAGCTAGTGTCTGCAAAACAAAAAAGGAAATAAAAATGTCACCTAACATTGAATATAATAAATATATATATTTTTTTTTTACTTAATTCAAAAACAATTTAATCAGGGCTTCATACAATCTGACAGAGTTCTTAATGTGTCCTCACCATCCTCCATGTCCTCCTCTGTGTTATTGTGTCCATCTGCCATTGCCACATTACCATTGATCACTGGGTTGGAAGGGATTCTTGGAGGCTCATCGGTCTCCCCAGCTGTAGATAGACAAAATTGTAATCATAAATGTTATGTCTTTGATTATTTCATTTGTATATAACCTAAATCATAAGTACCACATTAATCAAATAAAAGTTTTGTCTAGGAAAGTCCAAACCCAGGAAAAAGGTGTTCAACTTTCAAAAGTATATCACAGGTAATTTCCTGTGACAATATTTCAGCTGTAGACACTTTTATTGGGCAACTGATGGAGTGTCCAGTTAAATAATTAAGTGCTTGAAATCATCACTGCAAAATATTGCAAAGTCATTTTAAAGGTGCATTATACAACTTCTGGTGGATTTTTCCTTATTCAGTTGTTTGCATTATCTATGACCGGTCAGATTTAACCTGTATCTTTGCCCGGCAGTGTTACCATCTTGTTTACATGGGAATTCAAGTGATTAATGTCATACTGTGGAACATCTGAGGCAAAACACCAACATCTCCATAGATATGACCAGATGCTGGTAGACTCTCAATCACAGTAGTTACACAATCAGCTTGTACACTCTCTACATATAAACAAATTACTATTTAATCTATGAGAGATCTAACAACCATTACCCCTAATGCAGCCTATGCTGACTGCTAAGATCACGATCTTGAGAATTCATTTCTAAACCAGCTTTGTTTTATCCTCCTGTAGCTATTGTTGTGTTTGAAAGATGTTACTGTTTTTAATAAGAAGGGATTTTGCCCTTTTGTTTTACTTCTGAACATTATGTGACAAATACATGGTAGCCAACTGAAGTCTGGTAAGTGAATTATACTACACACACTGATGGTCCATGCAAGTAAAAAGATCTACAGGAAAACAAACCCTTCTAGTGGGCACACCTGCAGGCTGGGTAACATTTTGCTTTTTTCACCTTAGAGCTGCATTACATGCTTGCATTAGTTCTTTGGCAGGTCATATATAGTAATAAAACAAGCCACTGCAGGCTTGTGCAGTTCATTGACTTTTTAAACATTACATGCGCAAATGACGCAGTGATGCTGAAGACCTTCTACACCCTCAAGATTATAATGCTAAAGATGAATGAGGCCAGTACAACTTCGATTGTTTGTTTTCACTGCAAGCTATAAAAAAAAGTGAACCAACATAAACATGGATCATTAAAAATGGCGAGCTCCATGCCGTATGCTATTCATACAATGAAGCAGCAAATCCCCGCGCTACTTCAGTGCGGGCCTGGCTGCTTCTCTGCAGCGGCAACTATCGATACATGCCAGCACTGCTGCACGGTGCACAACATCATTACAAACAGCACCACTGGCTGCAAATTTAAAAATGTTGTTTCAATACTGCAATATGTATAAGTTTAAAAGGACCAGTTTGACAGGCAAAGGGAATAGACAGGTCCACGTTAGCCGCTAGCCGAAAACACAAGACACTGCGCTTTCCAGGCCACCATTGCTAACCAACCATTAGCCAGGATGACAGATAGCTTACCGGCTAACCAGCCACTTATGCAAAGAAACCTAAAAAACTTGTTTTGTCCTAATAGGTACTGGAACATACACCTCAATTATGATGACATCATTACATCTGGAGCGAAAAATGTAGCACAATATTGAACGCAACGATATACAAGCCACCATTTTGGATCGCCACACACCCCCTCAGCGAGTTGTAGCTTATTTGCTAACTAGCATGCTACAGGCAAATAACGAAACAAAATAAACTATGATGTTAATCGTCTTGTAACTGCTAAATGGGAGATTTGCTTTACCTTCCAATAAAACTTCAAAGATGATTGAAATATGGAGGCTAAAACTTTGTCTTTTTAATTTTAACGGTTTGTTACGATTCGTTTTTCCATCCTTACAGGCCCATAATAATAATAAGCAATATTGGACTCCATGCTACAAGTAAGCGATAGATAAACCAACATTTGTTGATTAGAGTTACATCCAAATGCAAATCTAAAAACAAAAATTGACTGCAAGAGTCATCGCCCTGACTCTGAAGTGTCAACAACCCAAGGAAGATGAATTTACCTGGTGTTGTTTCCATAATTGCCATATTTACCATCTCACCAGTTGCAAACATAAGAAAGTTGGTTTTCTGGGAAACAGTCCGATGGAAAAACCATGTTATGGCTGTAACTTTTTACTTCACCTTTAAGTTCAGAATTGTCAGTTGTGATGAACAAAACTGAACTGAATTTGCATGGCTTATTGAATGTCTACTCTGTTGGATGTCGTTGTTATCGTGATCTTTTTACGTATTGTCAATAATAGTAGAAAGTACTATAAACGAACACACTGGCAAATAACGCAAAATGAGGTCAGCTCCACACAAGTATGCTGCAATGGACGCAAAATCAGCAGAAATACAGTCAGCTATCAAGGGTAGCACTGGGCCTTGTGTTTACTGTAGGTAGATCAGAAGTTAGTGATGGATCAGTAACACATTTCACAACTCTACTTTTTGTTCAAAACGTGTGCGTCCATGTCTGGGCTCACCTTCCATCTCCATATCCTCGGGCTCGCTGAGCTGCTGCTCGCCGGCTTTCTGCTGCTGCGTGTGGTGATGGTGGTTCATGTTGGCAGCGGCGGTGTCGGTGCTTATGGTGCGGGGCTCTCGGTGATCTTTGTTTCCTTCGGTGTTGTCCGAAGTCGGCTCGGCCGTGGACCGGGTTTTTGGCTGCTGCTGGTGAGGTGTGGTAGGATGCGGAGGTGGGGTAGTCAGGTCGAGCCTTGGCGGCCGGGCCTGCTCTGCTGCGCCCTCGGCCTTGTCCGCTGTCAGCGCCGGGGAGTGAGGAGGGGAGGTCGGCGGGGGAGCGGGTAAAGAAACGCGGACGTATTTGCTCGCTATTCGCCCAATCTCGGCGCCTTTGGTGGGTGCAAAGTGCTGTCTGACGGCGATATGGTACTGTCGTTGAACCACAGAGGTTGGCCCGCTGAAATAAGCTAAATCAGTCAGGCTTTACCCCGGGAAATGTGGGGCAACGAGATAACTTTAAAACACGACCTGCAATTGGATGAGCAAATACCCTGTTTATAGCATACGTTAAGCTACCTGACACTAGGCAGCCAGTTAGTGATATTGGTACAACAACAATCAAAACAATGGCTCATTTGCTATTGATATTTAACAACTTTGCCTGCAATATGCCCAGTCCGTACGTTCCTCCAATTGTCCCTCGTCTGGGGCAGAGCGCAGGAAAAAGCTATCCATTCAATCCAGTTTCCAATACGGAAAAACACAAATGTTAATGTTGAAGTTCGCGGCCTGAATTTAAACAAATCCCCAACGCGTCCTAACACAGTAAACAACCAAATGCTGCACCTTGTTGCATTTCTAGCGGATCTGTTATTTCTTAGGAGTATTGTGCCCGGTCATACAGCGTTAGCATAAGCCGTGCAGCTCTCAGCCCGCTCCTCCCGTGGTTTGTGATGTGTTGAGTCTCAAGTAAATCTCAAAATGGCGGTCGCGCTCTTCTCTGAAATGTCACATCCGCATGGAGCATGGTGATCCAAACACTGCCCATCCCCGACTAGGCTCATTTTCACTGCGATAATGTGCATATGATTGTCTACTGTCAACTTCTGCATGGTATACACTCATAATAATGTTTTGTAAAGGAGACCCGATCCCCCAGACTGTTTTGAAAAGCAAATTTAAATGTAGTAAGCGGGGGGAAAATAAGGGACACACAGTCATAGGCTGCAGTATAATTATATATTTTTATATCAAAAGTTTAAAAAAAATAACACGCACACACAAAATATTTGATAGAGATAGGGCCCCACCATTCGGGCAACTAGCATAACATGACTTTGCCCTTTTTGTTGGATTCTTGCCCTTTTTTTGTTGTATTCACATACAACTCTTATAATCAAAAGAAAAAAAAAAAAGCATGCAATAATTAAGCATCAGGTATGTTTACATTACATCAGTATTATTTAGTGTGTGAAGAGGAGGCTGAGAAAGCGTGAGTGAGAAAACCTCCGCTTTGGGGCAATGATGTCAAGAATGACTAAATAGCACCGCCTAGTGTACATATTGCTTCTTCCCCCTTTTTTCTCCTTTTCCATCTCGCCAAACATCTCACATTCATCGCAAATAATTAAACAGATTAGTTGAAAAAAATAGTGACAATGGCTTAACCAAATGTGGTCAGTATTAGTTTGTACTTGCATTGTATTTTGTAAGTAAGATTGGACTTATTTGTGCATATTATGTCCTACTGCTGCACTACACTACTGCAAACACTGTGTAAAACAGAATTTTCACGGGGTTCTTTTGTATAGATTGTGTATCAGACAGGCCTTTAGCGCTCGGCCCGCCCCGTGCTGCTCTGAGCCAATGCTATGAGCGTGTGTCGGGACACGGGGTGGGCTTTCCGGGCTTTCGCGCATAACAGGCTACTGTGGATTGTATATATCTCGACGTCGACAACTAAGAAAACAGTTAGCTAAGCTTATCCTCGGAGAGGACATAAGTCCGTAGCACATTTCGTTTGTTCTGCGAAGTAGTTGCAATCATTGCAACCTGTGTTATATTTTTCACACGTTATATTTTCTTAACAGTATACTGTTGCGTCGTCGAATAATTTCATTAAATGGAGGAGAAGAAGGAAGAGGGGGACTCGGAGATACAGGAACACGGACCTGAACACTGGTTCTCAAAATGGGAGCGGCAGTGTTTGGCCGAAGCCGAGCAGAGGGAGCCCAGGGAGGAAGAGGCCGAAGAGGAGCAGGATAAACTGTGGCATCTTTTCCAGAACTCTGCCACCGCAGTAGCACAGCTCTACAAAGGTCCAAAACTTACTTTGTCTGTAATCCGGAATTCACTGTCATATGTCAGCACCACAGTCATGAGCGATTTAATGTCGCGCACATTTTGTGCATATAGCATAACGCAGATTATTTATTATTATTTTTTTTATGATTATTATTTTAATGTTTTTGGTTTTTGGACACAGGTCATGCCAGTTTCTGGCCTCACGGAACAGTTGTCTCTTAAAAATTCGCCGTAAGAGTACACTTGAATATACGCAGTCGGTTTACACGCACTGTATATTTACATTATGTCCATGTACAAGTGCGTCCTGTCACTAAAAGAAGGTTTGATGATCTTTCTGTCTATTTCGGTCGCTAAAACTTCAGCTAGATGGTAGCTAGCTAACAGCGAATAGCATTTAAAGCTGATTGGTGTACTTTATGCACAGGAGTTTGAAATTATGTCGATTTTATGATAATGACTCTGTTTTACTTTTACCTTGTATGTCATTTCTACGGTCTATAAGGAAACCTTATTTTAGGCCAACAATAAGCTTGCTTGCTTGACATTTTGAAGTTAAGACAGCAGCTGCGATGAAAACTGGTCGGAAAAGCTACCGTAGCTACAAAATGGAGAAAATATCAACAATCGTAACTACGCGACACTTTCACACGAACTAACTTAATGTTTTGTCACAGTGGCACGAAATCTTTCTTATTTGCTGTAATATTCATAAAACATTGTTGAGTACGTTCAACTTTGTATCTACCAGCTGATTGAACAGATTACGAGGAACTGCTAAGACCAGCATAAAAATACAAAATGGCGAGGACCTCATGTTTTATTAAGTATTATTTATTATATGTCTTCGTCTTATTGTGTCCTTTGTTGCTATCAGCCAACACATTTATTCTGCCTAAAAACTCGTTTGGCACAGCTGTGCAACTTGACTGCTGAGAGGACATTAAATTGGAGTGGAGTTGTTTGTTTTCAGTCTATATTCTACTCCTCCATAACATTACCACTATTTCAAAAATGTTTTCATATGTAATAAGTGTTTACTTCTTCTTCCACAGATAGAGTTTGTCATCAACAAGGCTTGTCACTGTGGGTGCCATTTCAGAATGCAGCAACAGCTGTTACAAATCTCTATAAAGGTAAATCTGACACGGACATGTCACTTGCTACTGTATTGTCTTTTGTACAATACTTAACAAATGAGCAAGCTATATAGTTTTCCCTCAGTATTTATTGTCTGTAGGTTATATTTTATTTACACTAGTAGAGTACTTTTTTCATGTACTGAATCTTTTCATGGCCTTTTCTAAAATATGCTTTTGTTATTTATCACCCTTAAAGAGAGTATAGAGGCTCATCAAAGGAGTTTTGATCGTGGCATTCAAACAGGTCATCAGCGTCGAAATAAGGCAAGTTTTTATACTTCAATTTGTCACAAGAGAAAATGTTATTTACAATTACTTCACTATTTCAGGACATGTTGGCTTGGGTGAAAAAGCGCAGAAGAACCATCCGCAGAGAGGATCTTATTAGCTTTTTGTGTGGCAAAGCACCACCCCACAGGGGTGGTAGGACCAGCACACGTCTGACTGTGGTAGCTCCAAGTCGTGCCAATTCACCAGCAGAGACCGGCTCCTCTGTGGAAGCAGATCTTCAACCTTTCAGGGAAGCCATTGCCCTGCATGGTAAGGTTATTTGACCCATTTTTAATTCAATTCACAGTGAAGTAATATGAGTCAGTCTTGTACAGCGTAGTTTTGTAAAGGGATACAATACCCCCTGTTATTTAACTGGTGGTTTAACACAGTCCCTGACAAAAGTCTTGTCGCTTATCCATTTTGTAGAAACAAAAGCTTATAACCTGACTTTAAATTAATCGATTGGTTTTAGAAATGTCTCATATGAAAGCTAAAACCCTCCCAAATTATGTTCAATATACTAAAATAAATTTGCTTCACTGAAGAAAGATTGATCATTTAATAAACACAGAAAGGTCAGATTTTAGCAAGACAAAAGTTTTGTCGCCTACAGAAAATTGAACAAATAATTTACTTCAAATACAAAAATATGTTGCATAACGTCAGTGAATTAAGTAGTGGTGCTGTGAGATCCATATTTAATATCTTGTATGACTTCCATGAGCTTGAAGGACGCATCCATGCGGTTCGACAATGATTCATACAATTTGTTGATGAAGTCATCAGGAATAGCAAAGAAAGCAGTCTTACATGCCTCCCAGAGTTCATCAAGATTCTTTGGTTTTGCCTTCCATGCTTCCTCTTTCATTCTACCCCAGACATGCTCAATGATGTTCATGTCTGGTGACTGGGCTGGCCAGTCCTGGAGCACCTTGATCTTCTTCACCTTGAGAAACTTTGATGTAGAGATAGAAGTATGCGATGGAGTACCATCCTGCTGCAAAATTTGACCCCTTTTATGGTTGGGAATGTAAGAGGTAGCGAATACTTCTTGATATTTTAGGCTATTGACATTGCCTCCCACCCTGCAAATGTCTTGCACACCCCCATACTGGATGGAACCCCAGACCATGATTTTTCCGCCACCAAACTTAACTGTTTTCTGGGTGAATCTTGGATCCATGCGGCTCCAGTAGGTCTCCTGCAATATTTGCGGTGGCTGTGATGTAATTGAGCCGAGGATTCATCTGAGAAATCCACCTTCTGCCACTTTTCCAGTGTCCATCCTTTTAGCAGGCTGTGGGCCTTGGCAAATGCCACACGTTTTTTTAATTGCCTTTTGTTTAGTGCTGGTTTCTGTGCACTGGTTCGACCATGGAGGCCATTTCGAGACAGAATTCTACAACTGTTCTGGTTGACACAGGGACTTGAGGTGACCAGGCCTGGTGGAGCTTTGCTGCAGTGGAAAAGGGGCTGGCCTTGGATTTTCCAATCAACAGATGGTCCTCCCGAGCAGTTGTCTTGCGGGGTCTGCCGGGCCTGGGCTTGTCAAAAACATCTCCAGTCATTTCAGATCTTTTTGTTATTCTTTGTACTTGACGCTGAGACACATTGAAGGTGTCACCACCTCAGCAGTGGATCTGGTCTTCAGCCTCTTGATAATTAATCGCTTTGGTCTCAGGGTGGATCTTAGGTATGTTGTCAGAGGTCAAGTTGCAATTGATATGAAGGTCTGGTGTGCTGGGGTTCTTTTTATACACACCCACTAATTGACTGATCAGTAACTGATGACAGGTGAGGCTGTAATCTAGGATTGGGTGCATCATATGACAAGGCGACAAGACTTTTGTCTTGCCAAAATCTGACCTTTCTGTGTTCATTAAATGATAAATCTTTCTTCAGTGAAGCAAATTTATTTTAGTATATTGAGCATAATTTGGGAGGGTTTTAGCTTTCATATGAGACATTTCTAAAACCAATCGATTAATTTAAAGTCAGGTTATAAGCTTTTGTTTCTACAAAATGGATAAGCGACAAGACTTTTGTCAGGGACTGTAGTTTGTCTGCTGATTTGTAGAGGCATTTACTGCTTTTTGTATGTGACAACACGCTTGTCTGTCTGTGATTATACTTGGCCACGTGTGGCTCAAAGATAAGGTCATGTTGTGCTTGAATGTTGGCCAATGACAAGAAAGTTCCTTACTGGGCTAGCTACTCCCTTGTTTGTGTGTTAGAAGAGATATGCTGCTTTCATATGGTGTTGAATGAATTGTAAATATGATTTTCCCAGTGGAAGTGTCACATAAACATCACACCAAGCCTTTTTCTCAGGCCAGTGAAATGAGGAATTCTGAAACCAGCATCACAGGGATCCGAGGAATGAAGTCAGAGATGTTTGAATGGCATCAAAATGAAGTTCACAAAAATTGATGGACTGTAAGATATTTTGTACCAAGTGAATATTAAGATGTTTATGTTCAAAACATAAACTAAACATTGAGTGTTCTCAGCATCCAACCAAAATCACCCAATGCTTGAACCAACAGTTGTGTGAATGACGCATGTTCATCGGGTATCGGTTCAAGTGGACATTTAAAAAAATGTCCATAGACGATAATAACTGTGACATTGCATATGACTTCTTGGTAGTGTTGTGATTCTGATTGAGAACTTTTTAAAAGTTGCTGAGGGTACAGCTCTGGTGAGGAGGAGTAATGTTAGGTATTCGGTGGTGTGAATTACAGTGGTGTGTCCCAGTCTGAGGTCATCTGTGTCCTTTGTAGTAATTAATCACTGTAGGTTTTGAAACCCCTTTTTGTATTAAGATAGACCCATGTTGTACAGTAGCTTATATGTCACTGTGAATGTTAATTGCTAATGATTTATCGGTGGACCTAATATCGTCTTTTACTGCAAACGGGTCAGTTTTATATTCCATTCTACAAATGGTTGGACTCTCATCCAGCAGTTCAAGGTATTTACTATTGTGTGTTCTGTTTCTATGTTTTCAGGTCTAAGTGGGGCAATGGCCAGTATTAGTGTGCGCTCTGGTGCCCCAGGGTCTCCGACACACATCAGTGGCAGCAGCAGTAATGGGGCAGGAGCCGGAGCAGGTGGAGGGGGGTCGTCCGGCACAGTGTGTCGCTCCAGGCGTAATGGCCTCCAGGATGTGGACCTGAATACTTTCATCTCTGAGGAGATGGCACTTCATCTGGACTCTTCCTCTGCTGGAGGAACCAGGAAACGAAATTCCAACCAATGTAGTGATGTCATTACAGACTCCCCAACACATAAACGTAATCGGATGATCTGATGTGCATTCTGCCTTTGTGAAACAGGAGTGCGTGACTTGTGAACTCACAGCCGCTTGGATTCTCTGCTGCGCACAAGAATATATCGGCTGAAGTCCGTTTGCTTTTCAGATATTGGCTGTTGTTTCATCTCCTTGTCGTGTTTCTCTGTGGTATTACTAGGAAAAGGCAGGCAATGAGAACCATCAGTGTGCAAACAGCTGCTTGGAAATGGCACACACACATCTCAGGAAAGGACTGGGAGGTGCAGAGTCCTTCTAAAATGATTTATTGAAGATTTGGAGATTGTTTTGTGGTACTTGAACATCCTACTGTTCTACTACAAGATTGTGAAACTGAAGGCAGTATGGCAGGGTAGCATACTATATCTAAAGCTTTTTATCAGTACTCTTTGAACAGTCTGTGGCTGGTAAGGAGCGTCAAACGCAAGTACCACTCAACAACTCTTCTCCCAAATCTTAGTGAGTCACTTAAAAGGTGTTCTGATGCACTGTGTTGCTCTGAAAGTGAACACGACTTGATCTCCTGCAAATGCGCCCTTTCCGAATTGTGTCATCCATTCTCACCCACTACCTTAAAATGGAAGTGAGAGCCGTAATCAACAGTGATTTGAAATGAGTCTGGGGCATAACTTGTCAATCTACTTGAGAATGTTGTTTTTCTGTTACATTGGTTCTGGGTATGATTTGAAAGTTTTCTTCTTTTAACTTGTTTCGGTTGAGCCAAGCTTTGTATTTTGCACCTGCCAGTGTTGAATTCGCTTTGATGCCACTGTTTGCAGTAGTGCTTGCCATGTTTATTCTTTATTAAAATGTATTCAGGATAATCAAAAGGAAATATGCTTTTAGTTAAGTACATTTACAAACTATGATGGCCTGTTTTGCCTTTGTCTTACCCTCAAAGCTGCTGAATTAAGTGACTGGGATTATGAGTTGCAATAAGGATTTCTGCACTTTGTTTTGACCTCTTTAATTCATGCAATTTAATCAGCTCTTCCATTCTCAGTTGTAGCCATGTCGAGCTTAAGCACCCCAAAACCTTTTTTAGATTCAGATGGCTTTTGAAAGGAATTTATTTGTAACAAACACCAACATCAAAATGGTCTCTTTCTTTAAGCTAGATTCAAGATGATTGCGGAGTTTAAAATGGAATTTGGAGATATTTTTCACAAAGCTTTGAAAGCTTAAAAAAAATCACTTTTTGTTGTGGATATGTCAGTCATACATGTACAAGTCCAAACTTATTTGTTCCTTAATTTTTATGAAACATCATGTTCTTCACCTTCAACTTGCCATCAAACCAAGCTGAATTAAAACTTTAATTACATTTAAGTCTCACATTTTAGTTACAAGTTAATTTATGTTGCAGATTTATACATTTGCGAGACAACCAACTTTATTATTTTTCTTTTTTTTATATATACACACAATGAATAGTTCAGTGCTTGGATACACGTTCATGTGTAGGGCTGCAGTTAACAATTGAATGTTTACCTATCTTCAGTAGGTGTTATAAATGCATAAATCAAAACTGAACACTACGGATTATAACTATTTTGTTTTTCCAGCAAAACAATTCTGAGTACATATCGATGTGTCATAGGAAAAAACCATGATACCTCTATGTTGTTGAGTTATTGCAGCCCGACAAGTAAAGTTATCTAAATATATTTTTTAAAAAAAAGCAACTTAATTTAGCAATTGTATCATTTACAGAATGTTAAGTACTAACAGATTGCACTATAATTTTTTTTATTTCAGTTCAGGGGTCTTCCTAAAATCACCTGTCCCCATCTTTTTCAACCAAGAATTACTTGATTAATTTTGGTTTCTGTACATTAGGGTTTTAATTTTGCATTTAATTCACAGAACTATAAAGTTGACATTAGTTAATCAAAACAATCACCTACCCCGTCTCTTTAGACCACTATTTGACTTTGACCTGCAAGGTTCTCCTCTTTCTCTGAATGGTTGAGTTCAGCTTGTGTTTTGCCATTTGCTAGCCTTAATCTCAGAAGGCTATCACTTTTCTTGGATATGTTGAATTAGTAAATAGTTAATCTAATAAATTAACATAAAACTGTTGAAATATGTGGTTCACATTGTTAAATAAATTATCAGACAATTTGACAAGCACTGATTGGACAGTTATTGACTGATTGACTTAGTTTGTATTCCAAAATGTTCAGCTGCTTTCTTACTGGTATTTACGATCACATCACATTTTAACCACAAGATGGAGCCATATCAGCAGAATGTGCAGATTAAAAACCCAATAACACTGGCAGGATCTGATTATGCATTATGGTAAGTCCTCAATATATGACAGCTCATGTTCAGTTCTGATTTTTAAAACGAATACAGCCACATGTTAAAGCCACTACCTTCAAATTTAATGAATCAAGCTATACAATGATGACAATGAGGGTTCTGTTTATTTCACATTTCTAGCACATTTAACAAAACAATGCACTATCAATGTGACACACTGCATGGAGCGACGCAGTAGTGAAAGATGAGCAAGATAATAAATAAGAAAACAAGCCTATTTATAATGTTTGGTCCATTATCAAATTACAAGATGCTCTTAGCTGGATATCCTTCAATAGTAAGCTTTTCAGCTGATACCTTATGAGTTCGTCGGTCGATATTTTTGTACCTCCTGTTAACTTTACGCTGTGGAGCTCTATGGTTTGAGGAGGATGTGCACAAGTGTCACTCAGATCTGACTGAGAGGCAGAAACTTCTGGTAATAACTCTTAGTCACATCGATCATCAAGTCCTGCGTACACTCTGGTAATTCCCCTGAAAACAAACCTGAGAAAACAAACAGGACAGAAATAACATAAGTGTAACTAGAATTAAAGGTCCTATATTACGCAAAAGTGACTCTTGTGAGCTTTAAGACATGTTAAAATATTGTTACCTCATCAAAAACATAACTGGAGTTGTGTTTTGTTTCATTCATGCATGTTTGAGTAACCCTTTAATGGTAATCTACCTACAACTGAAAAGCTCAAAATGCATGTATGAATAAAACAAAACATAACTCCAGGTATGTTTTGAAACAACTTTAACAGTGTAATGTGGGTCCTTTAATCAATTTATGCAACATAGTAATGTCTGTGTTTGACTGACCAGGACATCCAGAGAAGACAGTGAATGGGGGAACCACGGTCTCTGGTGGTAGTACAGTATTGTCTAAAATCTTGCAACAATCTTTGAGCACACAGCGACGACCCTGCATCCAAGACAAAGACAAGTATATTTATTAGAACAGCTGAAGGATGAATTGCAATCGAATTGAATAAGAAAATGTAACCCTGTAGTTTAGAACTGTACCAGCATATTCTTAAATGTGATTCTTGTATTAGTTTGCCAGTTCTTACACTACCATTCAAACATCTGGACACACCATCTGAAAGTTTTTCTTTATTTTTATTATTTTCTACATTTTGTAAGCATATAGAAGAAATCAAATATGAAGCAAGTTACATGGAATTATGCAGTAAAGAGAAAAGTTAAACAACTCTACTAGATATATTTCAACAAAGCAAGCGAGTTATTTGACTTTTTTTCTTTGCTACATGATTCCATATATCTTACGTCAGATGTCGTCTGTATGTGTGTAAATGGAGAAAGTAGTAAAAATATTGAAAAATAAAGACTGAATGTGGTGGTGTGTCCGTTTTTTGTAAATTGTTCTGGATGATGTGTTTAAAAGGTGAAGTTGGAACAGAATCCTATTACTGAAATATAAATCACAAATCTTATCTCAATCGCTTTCCCAAACCCAACTTTCCCAAATCTTGCAGCTCTATTGATTAATAATCTAATCATAAACAACAAAAATATGTTCTTTTTGTCAGTTATAAAAACCTGGATATAATTGCCAAGAGTCAGTTTTCTATTCACGTCCAGTGTGGATCTGATGAGCATGTGACTTTACTTTACCACTCAAAGCAAAGTAAAAAGTTCAACTCACTATAACACAGTTCTTTCCAATGTGAACATATGACCCAATCTGTGCTGCATTCACCACACAGTCTTCTTCAATAAAGACATGGTCCCCAATGTGCAGGGGAAAGAATGCCACCCTAGAGGCAAACACAAACAAATACATATATACTGTAAATGGTTTTGAAGATGATTATGAAATGTATTGCTATCTATTGCAAATTACTTAAATATTGTACTTGTGAGCTTTAAGCCATGTTGAAATGTTACCTCCTCAAAAATGTACCTGGAGTTGTGTTTTGTTTCATTCACACATGTTTGAATAAACCTTTAATATTAGTCTGTTTACATCCCCAAAGACCTAAATGCTCTGCTCCACCTTGTGACGTCATGAAGCAGTAAGTTTTCATGTTAACAGCTCCTTTTACATTTTGTTCAGTAGAGATTGTCAATTCCTGGGCTGAATTTGTCCATCTGATTCTAGTGAAGGTGTACGGAGTTTAAAAACACAGTGGAGCCCTTCCTGTATTACCACATGACATCACAAGGTGTAAAGAAGAATTCAGCCTAAATTAGAATGTGTGTGCGTGTGTTACAAGAAGTGTGAATGAAAAAAAAACGCAATTCGAGATATGTTTTTGATGAGGAAACAACATTATAACATCAGAAAATAGTTTAATAAGATCCCATAATTATAATAGACGTACCCTTTGCTGAATTTTTTAAAAGGTGGTCGTATCACGCTTCTGCTTTTCACAACACAGTGTCTGCCGACCCGGACGTTTGCAAGATCGCCTCTGATAATGCAGTCATTCATAACAATTGCCTGAAAGATTATTAAATAAAGTTGTCAGAGTAATGCAATAAAAGTGGACGTACCATCTCCAGCAAAGGATCCTTACTTTCCCGTTAAGGACGATGTTTTGACTGCCACATAGCACCGACTGTCTGCTCACTTTATTGCCAGAAGCCTTAAAAGAAATAAAAGAAAAGTTAAGTTAATATTTTCTGCTGATTTTACTGCACAAAAGAAAACAGTGAACTAGAAAGCAACGCCCAAAGCTAAGCAGCTAACGTTAGCATTAAAAGCTACTAGTCGGTGTCTAAACTTATTACCGTTTCGATGTATTCCGCTTTATTGTACAGTATTTCGGACAACTCCATGACCCAAAATTTGTGAATACGTCTGTGTAATTGGAATATTGCACGGATTATTTGCTATTTATTTATATTAGTCTATCCTGCTCCTCTCCTTCTCTCAGATCTAGGTTTTTCGGTCTAGGCTAAACTAATCGATCAACGATCACATGCGTGCCAAACTAATTTAATAATGATTAGTGCTCGTTAACATTTAACATATCAGTCTGGGTTGTTGTTTACATTATCTGCTTTGGAATTAATTTAGAGAAGTTTGCATTTGGAGCCTAACGTTATACATTTTCAATATGTTTACATTAATTATACATGGAAATGGGATGGAAACTAAGATGGAACACTTAATTGCTTTAAAGTAGTAGAGCAAATTCTATCCTTCGGGTAAAGTGAATTTTATAGAACAAAGAACTGTTAATAATACACTTAAAACATTATTCAAGATATTGTTTTGTTTCACGGTGCAGATGATCGATTACTCTGGCCTCAGGAGAACATAACGTGACAAAGTTTATTTTCTTTCTGTGGCTTACTCTTTTAAATGGCCTTCAAATTTACAAATAAAAAGGGCATATATTACAGTAGAAAAGTTAAACACAATTTCGACCAATGTATATAAAAAAAAGTAAACAACTTTAGTAGGCATGCGCAGATCGTGTCCTGGCCAGACCTCGGGTTCTTGTTCGCGCTGCATGCTGGGAGCAGTCACTGTAGACAGTCCATCATGGCGGCCCGTGTCCTGATGCAGTGTGTCCGCTCTGTTGCCCGGCCTTCACTGAGGCTGTGCTCGGCTAATCTGACGGTCAGAGGCGCTGCGGTCTCCAGCGCAGTGTCCCACCGGAGCCTGTGTTTCTCCGGGGACAGTCGCAGGACGCGGTGGCTGGAGCAGAGCCGGGTGAGTGCGGCTAACATTGAGCAGCTTTGGCCTGGCGCTGGTGCCTGTGACCTAGCGACGTCTTTCAAAACTATCAGGCCATCCGTGCCCGGCACACTCCACAACACCGTGCACC